GGGGGGGGGGGCAAGGAGGGCCCGAAAAGGCCGAACTTGGGATTTGGTCCCACCAACTCTCAAAAGCCCTACACCAAGAATGACTACACCATGCAAGACCATGTGACGGTGGATGCCGAAGACCCTCTTCAAGAGATTTGAAGAGGGTCTTCTTCCTTTGAGCGTAGTCCAGGACTGCACTTTCCGTGGAGTGATGAAGATTCAGTGTGGTAAGCCGTACATACTTGCAGCAATCCCCAAAAACATTCATGACTTGTCATGACCGTGTTTTGCTGTCTCGCTTGTCAGGTTCGAGGGTAGGTGAGATTTCCCTTTAGTGTGAGGGCTTGTCCCCCCGATCCCGAAGAGGCAGCGAAGCTCCAAATCTTCTCACGGAGCTGAGCCTCGTGGGTGCACGCCTTGCGGTGAGCCATGGAAGCGAGATGGTTCTGGCAAGGCAGTTGGCAGAGCGCCTTGGTATCGAGCATAGACCCTGGCATACGGAGCTCATCACAGGCCAAGTGCGAGAGGCCGTTCAGATGGCGGATCTGGACGATAGGCTGGGTTGAACTTCATCAACAAGGTCGATACAGAATATCATAGATGCCAAGGCGGTGATGGACAAGGAGAAGACGAAGGCCCTCGAACCTGTGGAGCCTGTGGTGGTCGTCCCCGTGAAGCCAAAGCGTGGCACCCTGGGGAGGACGGTTCGTTTGAAGAGCGGGCGAATTGCGGCTGAAGACGAGGTGAACGACAAGGTCCTTGATAAACTGGTGAGTGAACTGGTGATCTATAGGGCGACGGTCCTCGAGGAGGTGAAGAAGTCAATGAACCCAGATCGAGCCAAAGAGGCCCTGCTGGGGAAGTACCGAATTTCAACAATCAGGAGGTATCTGGCGTCCTGGCAGAGTCTGGGCGGATTCTATGGGGAAGCCAGGCCAGCGACCGAACACGGTGACCCTCATTGACCAGTACGGCAGTGGCATGGTTTGAGCGGACTGCCGGGACGCCGGAAGAAGAGCGGCTGATGAACCAGGCCTTTCCGCAGATGGTCATGAAGGAGCTGACAAGGAAATTGGAGCAGAGTGCACCGCCTGTCCGGAGGGCGCCCCGATGGCTGGGGTGCTTCGTGGCTCCAATGGAGACGCTGGTGATCGATGCGGCAACGCCTCTTGAGGTGAGGGTGTGTGCATGGTTTAAGCTCATCAAGCTGTGGGGTTCCTTGAGGTTCGACGATGCAGCGCATCTGAAGACTACGGAACTCCGCTTTTATGATGGACAGTTGGTTGGGATGATGCATCAAACCAAGACAACTGGTGCCGGCAAGCGGGTCCGAGAGCTGCCGATTTTCATTGCGAAGGACGCCTATGTGTTGCATGATGATTGGCTGGCAGTGGGCTATGACCTGGTGAAGCTGAAGATGCCAAGGGAGCGGGTGTTCGTGTTTCCTGAAGGGTGCTTTTATGGCACGGCATATGGGACAGCGCCTGTCTCGTATGCTGAGGCAGTGGCTGGGAGCTCAAGGACGTTCGCGCTGCTGGAGGGCTATGATGGTGGGTTGATCCCATCCGGATGGGAGGGGTTTTGGTCAGAGCACAGTGAGCGCGCAACAATGCCCAGCGGTCTGGCCGCACTGGGCGTAGAGAAGTCAGACCTGCTGGGTCGTTGGTGTCCGGAAGGCTCGGACGTTTACGTCCGGACATACAACACGATAGTCAGGAAGATGCAGAAGAAGATCGTTGCAGTGTTGCGAGGGGAGGCCGCCTATGAAGAGCTGGACGAGGGCTCCATTCTGGAGGGGCTGCGAGGCAAGTGGACAGTCCCAGAGGAGAGTGTTGTGGAGGCATGGAAGGGGAAGCTGGGAGTGAAGGGAATGCATGTGTCGGATGAGGACACCACGATCTATGATGGTTCCCAAAGTGAAGAGGAAGCGGCAGCTCTGCATCAGAAAGACCCGAAGAGGAGGAAGATGAATGACCCCTTGGAGGAAGAGCGTGAGGGGAACTACGTGGTGGTGTACAGACGAGCTGGTAGAGGTACTCTGCGCCGGCTTGGAGTGAAGGGCTGCTGGATGGCCAAGAAGCGTTTCTTTGTCAGGTCTGAGATCCACAAGGAGCTTCCGGAGCCGGAAGAGTACACCCTCCGATGCAAGCGGGGGCAGCGAGCCTCTAAGTGAGTCCACAAGTGACTCGAGAGACGAACTGAGTCTCAGCGATTGAAAAGGAGTCGTCTGAGCCGCATCGAGGTGCAGCTGCATGGTGAGGACAACCTGGGTCGCACCCAGGGAGGGGATCGTGCTGCAGCACGAGGGAGGGCTAGATCGCATCTAGCGCAAGACGCTGGTAGGGGGTAAAGGCAACCCTGAGCCGAGCGAGCCGCTCAGGCTTGGGGGCGGAGCGCAGCAGGCGCAAGGCCAATACCAGTGGAGGAGAAGGCTGGGCGCACCACAGACCGATAGAGTGTATCACATCGCATGTGAACGGAATTGTGCATCGCATGCACGAAGGTGGACAACGCTGTGTCCATAGGGAGCATCGCACGCTTGGAAACCTGCTCGGTTCAGACAGGCGGGGCGGGGGGCGCTCACCGGTGGGCGCTCGGCATGCCGCGTGCGGTCATCTCGGAGGCTGAGGGTAACAAGGCATTAGAACTTGCAGGCACTGACATCAAGTACCTCTTCTCAAGACATGAGGTGAGTGTTGACAATCAGAAGCTGTTCTTTCATCATGGAGTGACAACCTTAGAGAAGCTGTCGAATTTTGCGAAAGACAGAGATGACTTGGCAACAGTTCTCAAGGAGCATTGGGAGTTGGATTCGGACAGGTCATTGGAGGAGCGATTGCAAGTGGCAGCAATCACATGTGCCTTCAGCAATGCAAAGACAAGAAGTCAGAGAGCTGCAGAAGTCGACGCAGAGTACGACACGTCCCAGTGGGCCAGGCCAGTGGTGGCAGGAGAATGGGCGGCGACGCGCTCAGCATTGGAGAAGAAGTATGGCCACCTGGAGGACAAGATTTATCCTTCGAAAGAATTCGTCGAGAAGAAGTTGGCGGAGGTTGAAAGCGGCGAATACCGGGCTGAAGAGCTGGCAGAAGTTGTGTCGAAAGAAGAAATCGAGCCCGATGGAGTCGTGCCCATTTGGGACTCCAAGGGCCGATTGGCCATGCGCAAGGCATCGACAAAAGTGCCCGAACCAGCGAACGCTGAAGAACTCAGGCGCCGCTTGACGATCTGGAAGAATGCGATGGTCATGATCTCACTGAAGCACTCGAATAGACATGAACTTCAAGGAGCCTGGGAGGAGACGATTGAGCAGTACAAGGATTACCTCTTGGGTGACTATGTGTATGGGCTCAGTGCAAAAGACGCAGAAGGCCAGACATTTGCAGCACCACCTTGGAAGTTGATCATCGCCTATGAGCGGGCCATCCGAAAGCAGGCGGTGAAGATCACCAACACAGAAGGCAAGCCCTTGACGGTGGCACTCAAAACGGCATGGAAAGATGCCACGGTGAAGGAGAGGAACTTCACGACACCTTTGGCATTGTATGCAAAGAGGCCCACGCCACGCCGCCATGGAGGGAGCAGCCAACCCACAAGTGGCAAGCGGTTGAGAAGGGTGGCAAGGGCAAGGAGAAGGGCAAGTCGAAGAAAGGCAAGGGCAAGGGTGGGAGCCCGCATTGCGCGACGCACACGCCTGAAGGGGACTTGATCTGCTTCAGATACAACACCCCGGGAGAGAGGTGCAAGATGGCCAAGTGCAAGTACCGCCATGTGTGCGGGATATGTTTCAGTGAGAAGCACCCCCTCTACGAGTGCAATGCAAAGAACAGGAAGGAGGCGGCAGCTCCCGACACAGACGGGACAAAGTGAGGACCTTTGAAAGTCCTCTACGTGTTTTCGGGGAAGAAGCGCAGAAACTCAGTGGCGTGGTTCCTTCGGAAGCTTGCGCAACGAAAGGGTGTTCAGGTGGAGATCACTGAGTTGGACATCCAGTCTGATCGTCGATCAGATTTTACAATCCCTTCTGTACAGAAGAAGTGGCTACAGTTGATTGCTCAAGGCATCTACTACGCTGTTATTGTGACACCACCCTGTTCTACCTTTTCGAGAGCAGTGTGGGCGAATGATTTGGGGCCTTTCCCATTGAGGAGCTCAACATACCCGAGGGGTTTTCCATGGAATAGGGCAGAGCGATTTCACAAAGCTGAATTTGGAACAATTTTAGCTGACCTTTCATATGAAGCATTGAAGCGTCAGTTTGCATGCAGGCAACGTGTTGGCTTGATGGAGCAACCGGAGGACCTTGGGAGGACCAACTATGAAAGGATTCCGGGGCAGCTACCTGCACCCATGTGGCAGTTTGCGCAGTTTCAACAGTTGTTGGAGATCCCGGGTGTGCAGACGGTGGTATTTGCTCAGTCAGATTTTGGTACCGAGTCTCCAAAACCTACCAGGTTCTTGATGCGCATGTTTGCACCTCTTCATCCAGCAATGCACTCAGGTATTCAACAGTTTGATGCTCAGGGCTGGTACGAAGGACCTCTTCCCAGGCAATCAGGGGGCGCCCCTCTGATCGGAAAAGCCGGGGGGGTCTTTCGTACTGCACAGTCAGCAGCATGGCCTCCAGCACTTTGCAAATGGACAGCTGAAGCAATTCTCATCTCCTTCATGCAAGAGTGGAACGGGGGGGATGAGACAACAACTACTTCAGCATTGAAGAAGCGGAAGCTTGAGGTTGACCAGGTGGACCAATCTACGGTGAAGCGACCAAGGAGTGATCCGGACGGCGGAGGTAGAGGTGCAGTTGATCCGATGAACCCACTGGTTCCAGGAGGGCACGGTCCTTCGAGGGCGTGCCGGTGGAAAGGCTTGGAGGCACCTTTTCATGATGGAGGAGGTTTGGCTTCCCCAATGAGGTGGCCCCAGGGGGAGAGAAGGATGTTGGCTGGCAGAGAATGGAGGACGTTGAGGCACAGAATCCTGTTGGCCGCAGTCAGACGTTTGGGAAGTGTTGAGGATGTTGAGAAGGAGGCTTTCCGAATGGCGAGAGGAGGAGAGGCATTTCAGTTGGTCCGTGATGAGGGCTTTCTGGAGGAGATCAGGCAAATATTGGCCGAGTGTTTGGGACAGCCCTTCTTCTTGGACCTCATGAAAGGCATTCTTGAGAAGGCGGAGGACCCGGATTGGGAGTTTTTAGAGCAGGCAAAGACCGGGTTGCCCTTGAAGGGTTATCAACGACCTTCCACGGACCCCAAAGATCTTCGAAGAGCGGGTGAAGTGGAGCCTCGACGGAGACGACTGGGGCAATGCGGCATGGCAGAAGGACAACTATGCCTCGGCGGCTGAACATGAGAGGTACCTGACAGAACACCTGGAGCAGGAGGTGGTGAAGGACTCATGATGAAGATGGATGAGGCGGAGTTCGTTGAGACCTTCGGGAGGGACAGGGCAGTGGCTGCCCTAGCGGTCCTGGTGGAGGACGAGTTGACCGGGAAGAAGAGAGTGATTCACGATGGCACGCACGGTGTCATGGTGAACCATCGGATCAAGTGCAAAGACCAGGTCCGAATGCCGGGGCCCAGGCCTTTCTCTGGTGGGTGACTTCGCAAAGGCTCATCGGAGGTTCAAGTATTGTGCGGAGGAGCAGGGTTTCCTGGCTTGTAAGGCTTCCACCAGTTCAAATACAGTTTATGTGAACAAAGTGGGCACTTTCGGAGTGGCATCAACACCATACTGGTGGGCAAGGTTGAGCGCAGCATTGATGAGGCTTGTCTATTGGGTGTTAGGTGACTTCTTCCCGAACGACACGCTGCTGTACGCGGACGACCTTGAGGTATTGACAATAGGTCGTTGGGGACGCATTGGTGGTGTGCTGGCCTATTCTGTGATGGCTTCCCTTGGAGCACCTTTCAAGTGGGCAAAGCAGAGGGGCGGCGTTGTTACAGAATGGATTGGCCTCACCACGGATTACAGTGCTTTCTCCATGGGCCTTTCCTTGAGGAGAGCGAGCTGGCTTGTTGACTGGATTGGCTCCTTGAGGGAGAGAAAGGAGGTCACTTTCCGTGAGTTCTCGGCTGGACTCGGGAGGTTGGGCTTCTCGGCATTGGCCCTCCCTTGGGAAAAGCCCCTACTTGGACCCTTGTACACCTGGGCCTCAGCTATCCAAGCAAACAAGGGTGCAATGACCATCCCTTGGGCGGTGCAGTTCATCCTGGACTGGGTGGCACAGAGGCTCAAAACAGGGGGTCACATGGAGATAGTCAAGAGGCCTCCATCATCAAGTGCCAATACAGTCAGGATCTGGACGGACGCTAAGGCAACGGAGCACCCGGCATGGGTTGGGGGCTGGCTTGAGGAGTGTGAGGACAGCATGAAGTGTCGCTGGTTTTCCCTACAGGTGACAGAAGCAAGCGCCCCCTGGTTATTTTACAGGGGCAAGAACCCCAAGAGAGTGATCGCAGCATTGGAGCTCTTGGCAACCCTCATCGCTCTGAAGTTGTGGCTGAAGAAGGCAGGTGACACGGCTGAAGTCAGAGCTGAGGCGTTCACCGACAACAAGGGCAATTCGTTTATACTCCAGAAAGGGCTTTCAACAAAATACCCAATCACCATTTTGGTGATTGAGGTGGCAGAGACACTACGGAGGTGCGATGCCTTTGCTACACTCACATGGGTGAGAAGGGATGGCAACACTTTGGCAGACGCCTTGACGAATGAGGATTTCAGCTCATTTGATCCCCAAAGAAGGAAGGCGGTGATAGAGAAAGAGTTGAAGTGGCATGTCATGGACGACCTACTGCGACGCAGTGAGAAGCTCTTCAACGAGATCAAGGAGCACAAGATGAAGAAGAACAGAGAAAAGCCGAAGTTGGACCTCACAAAGAGGAAGGCGAAGAAATACTTCAGTCGGTGGAAATCCTGACTGAGAGTGGGAAGTCTGCACCTGGGAAGCTCCCAGGTGCAGCCGGCAGGAGTTCG